TTGGCGAGGAATAGGATGCTTTCGAGAGAATTTTCTCGTGTGTTATCATTCCTGCTTTTCTTATTCTTAATCTTATTCTTATTATTCTTATTACTCTTGTTCTTGCTATTATTCTTATTCTTATCATTCTTATTGTTCTTATTCTTACCATTCTTATAATTCTTATGCTAATTTGTGTTCTTGTTTTTTTTTTCTATTTTTACTTTCACTTTTATCATTCTTATTATTTTCCAATATAATCATAATTTTTATTGCTGTTGTTGTTGTTCTTATTTTTGTTAATATTATCCCTATCAATACAACAAATTAGAATCAAGGAATTAATGGACAGATAGACGAATAAGAGAAACCGATAAAAATGAAGAACAAAGAGCTAAAGAAAAGGAACAATCAAGCCATAATCAAAATAGAAAAGAAAGAAAGAAAAAAAACGGAATCGAATGATAATCAATAATATAAAGGAATAAATAAGTGGTATCCATAACTATTATAAAAATGATTATACAAACAGACGAAATAAAAGCGAGCAGAGAAAGGACAAAAGAAAATGAAATTAAACATCATCAATCCCTATACTATCAAAAAAAAAAAAAAAAAAAAAAAAAAAAAAAAAAAAAAATATATATATATATATATATATATATATATATATATATATATAGAGAGAGAGAGAGAGAGAGAGAGAGAGAGAGAGAGAGAGAGAGAGAAAATAGATAAATAAAATAAAGATTCGACACGGATGTGATGTTAACATTACCCCCGTCTCTCCGCTGAAAACTGCAATAGATACTCCAATCTCGATATCCCTTCGCTCTCCTTCTATTGATCCCCCTCTTTTGTGGCATTCAAACCGATTGTTTACTTCATTACAGGGGAATCTACAACCTCTGCTGAGCGCGCGGGAGATCGGGGATCACCTTTCGTCTATTGTTTTCTTGGAATTTATAGTTTGTATTTTCCCGTGTTCGTGTTCCCTGCCATTGGCTTAATTCCATAAAAAAGGAAAGGTAGGGCGAGCGAGAAAGACTAGAAATAGGGTGAAAGGAGAGAGAATGAAAAAGGAGAGGGAGAGGAAGAGGAAGTGGGAGGAGAGGTGAAAAGAAAGAGGGAAGAGAAAGAAGGGAAAAGAGAGAGGGAAGATAAGTGATGGAAAGAAGAGAGAGAAGGGGGAAAACTAGAATAAGATAAAAATGATAATGATAATAAGACGAACAATCAGAAAAAGAAATAAAGAGAAAGAAAGCGAGAGGAGAAGAGAAGAGAAGAGAAAGAGAAGTGAAGGAAAAGAGAGGAAAGAAATGAAGAATTAGGAAGAAGGAAGAAAAAAGGGAAAACTAATATACGAGAGAGAGACCTGGATGAAAAGAATGGAAAAATAGTGAAAATAAAAAGAAAAAAGAACAGGAATTGAACAGGAAGATAAAAAAGAAAGGAAAGAAAGAGAATGAAAGAAGACGAGAAAAAAACAAAATTACAAAAAAAGGTCCTATCAGAGGCTATAAGAGACAAAAAGAAAAAAAACAAAAAAACATATAAAATAGAATAGAATAAAACACAAATAAATTAACATAAAAACACAATAAAACATTGCGATTCATAAGAAACAAAGCTTTCACTTCGCTTCAAAATATTTAAAAAAAGTACGCTCTCAAGGGACCAAGGGAGATGTACTTAGGGGAATCACAGGTGTTAATCTCATGTAATATCTAAAAAATGGCAGTTTTATGGGATGCTTTTTTTCAGCAAATGTTGTTCATTAAATAGTCTTTATAGTGTTTTACATGAGAGAGAGAAGGGGAGGAGAGAGGGGAGGGAAGGAGAGGGAGAGGGAGGGAAGGGGGAGAGGGAAGGACGGAGGGAGGGAGAAAGGGACGGAAGGAGAGAGGGAAGGGGAGAGATGGAGGAGAGAGAGATGGAGGGAGGGAAGAGCGAGAAAGAGAGAGGGAGGGAGAGAAAGAGAGAGAGAGAGAGAGAGAGAGAGAGAGAGAGAGAGAGAGAGAGAGAGAGAGAGAGAGAGAGAGAGAGAGAGAGAGAGAGAGACAGAGCGAGAGAGAGAGAGAGAGAGAGAGAGAGAGAGAGAGGGGGGGGGGGCAGGCAGGACAGACAGACAGACAGACAGACGGATAGACAGACAAGCAGACAGACATCTAAACGAGCAGACATATACACCCCTATACATTGAAACACAGAGACAAACAGAAATGAAAAGAGTAATGAAAACCCAAACAAACAAACAAACAAACAAAACGAGAGAACGCGCGATCATAAAGCACGTGCATTTAGACAACAATTTTCCCGTAAACTTCAAACCATCTTAAGCTGCGGTTAAATTCATGAAAACTTCTCAGCGACAGAATGTCTTGTACGTGTAATAAGCATGCTAATTCTTGAAGACTCTGATTAAAAAAAAGAAAAAAGAAAAAAGAACAAGAATAAAAAGAAAAAAAAAATCCAAGGAAAATGGGGTAATGGTGTTTATGCAAAGATTATAAATTTCTCT